CAAGTTCCTGAATCGAGAAAGTTCAGTAGTTTCCAATAAATTTGGTGGATTGTAGACATGGCAAAGAAAACAATACAAATGATTAATATTGACATTGTAGGAGGGAAGCTCAAGGGAAGGATTTTTTAGAAGAAAGGAGAGCACAGTGGCTGATGAGGAAGGTGCATGCTAGTTATCACTGAGTTATCATTTAATTATGAAATACTTTCTGTCATTTGCACTGACTTGACTGAGAGTATAACATTGTAATGAAGAACATGATTTCTGGAGTCAAGCACACTTGATTCAAATTCTGGTCATGCAATTCTTGGCAAGATATTTACATTCTTTAAGGTTTGATTTTATCTGAAAAAAATACAGGTGGTGTGCTGGTATGTCTGTCTTACAAGGTGGTTTTAATTACTTGCATCAGTCGGGGTGGGGTCAGTAAAACAGCCATCATTATATGTATTCTGGATATAAAGGGCTTACTGTCAGAGTAGAGGCTTTCTTGACTGTTGACCCTTAAGCCCCCATTATAGGTCAAAGAAACAAACAGGGTTTTAGAGGGGAGGGGGGAGGGGGAATTGGTTAGCCCGGTGATGGGTATTAAGGAGGGCACATACTGCATGGAGCACAGGGTGTTATACGAAAACAATGGATCGTGGATCACCATATCAAAAACCAATGATGTATTGTATGGTGACTAACATAACATAATAAAATTAAAAAAAAAAATGGTCAAGGTGCTAAAAAAAAAAAAAAGAAAGAAACTGCCTCAAAGTTCAGGGAAGCTGTCATTGGAGATCACAGACGAAAGCACCAAAATGTGTGATTCTCATAAAAGTTCTCAGAGAAGTTGCTATAATCCTCAAGACTATTTGGGAATTTTTCATCTGTTTTCTTTGCGGCAGCAAAACAAGTGATTCTTAAAGGCTCACCAGGAAACCCATAAGTCCGGCTGCAGCTGCATCTGCAGAATAAGAACTTCTCCTTTACTTCAATCTTCCTAATTGCCTGCAGTTTCCTCTCATTCACTAACTCTAACCAGGAATCTTACAGAAAGGAGAATTCTGGGAAACAAATTTCTCAGCTTCACTTCTATGGTGCAGAGGAGGTCTTGGAAGAGGGTGATGGTGATGTCGAGTAGACATTAGACACATGTTATAAATGCAAAGTACTTAGAATAATGCCTTGTGAATAATAAGCAGTTAGCAAATATGACATAATATTCTATTTTATGTTACTAGCAGTGAATTGAATTTGCCTAAAATCTAAGTCTGCTATAGCATTGATATATATATATACACACACACATACTTTCTCTTTAGTATCTTCTTTTATCCCTGTTTTTCCTAGTAAAATTTTATTTAAAAAAACTAAGTTATTGTAAATGAACTAAAGGAAAGCAGGATTATCTGTAACCTCATCAAGATGCCAGGAAAAGTAAACTGCTATAAGGTTAGATGTGGTGATGTGTGGTGATGTGGTACAATTCTGCTCCTTAGTCAAGGAAACCTATGTGGATAAAGTCAGGGCCAGCATGAACATTACTGTCCTCCCTGCCAAAGCCCCAGCAATCATGACAGATGCCTCTTCTGACATTCCAGAAGTAGTAAGCTACACTCTCAGCTTCCCACAACCCTTGGCCAGAAGAAAATCACCCATGCTTCTAAATTTTAGGAGATTGGTGTGGGGAGCAATGAAGAGAACAGAGATTAAGAATACGTATTATTTTCTTTATTGTGGATTTGTTTTCAACTTATTTATAATTTATATATAATTTATTATGAAATAGTTAATAGTTAATAGTATTACTGGTTTCTTGAATGAACTGAGAATTTTATAATGCATCTTTTCTTTTTTGGTAAATCTATTAACTGATTTTACTTGCCTTCTAGCTTAGGAATACTAAAGTTGGCAAGTTACTTACTCTCAATGATAGTTGAGCTGGTAATATTGAAATTTTGGAGATTTTAATGTATTTTTCTTTTGTGGTTTGAGAAATAATTGAACCCATTCTAAGAAGGAAATTTTATGCACTGGTATTAGAAAAATAAATAAAAGCTTGAAATATCCTTGCAGATGAAAAATCACCAATGTCGTTCTAGGAGATTTTAATTTCAATTGACTTGCTCTTTTCTCATTTACATTGCTGCAGTGACTATGTATCAAAGATTGCTAATAATCATCAATATCCATTTCCATTTTCTTTTTGTTTCTGGACATACAGCTTAACTACATTTTCTTCTCCCTTGCAGTTAGATTAGGGATATGTAATCAAGTTTTGCACAATGAATATGATATCAATGGTAAATATTATCTCCAGATGTGTCCCATAAAAATCTCTCACGTGTAATCTGTCATTTTCTTCATCTTCCACAGTGATTCTGGGGACCTGTTGAATTTAGAGACATTGAAAGAGAAGAATCTTGTGTCTCTGAATTACTGCTTGGAACAGATTCTACTACTGTCCTTCCTCTCCTCCACCATCAATATCATTGTACTGTTAAATAAGTAAGCCTTGAAATTGTATTAACTACAGAGATTTCAGACTTTATTTGTAACTGCAGGCTAGCCTGGCCTAACAAAACCTGGCTCAGTGCTTGCTTGAAAGAGGTAACTGTTGCCAAATTGAGTCACAGAAAGAATTTTTAGGGCAAATATCCTTCAGATCTGCAAATCTTGGACTGTACTCAGTTGATTTCCATATCCCAGTAGTAAGTCAGGGAAGCTTAGGTGCTCTGATTTGTTCAGGTGACCCCAGTCTGGATGTGAATGTGTTTTAGGCATCTTCCCCATGGAAGGAGATACTCATCAAGTTTAACTGAATGGTCTTGTGATTCACAGCTTGCCTTTTGAGAAGAGTGGAAGAAAATGTGTCATTTATCATAGGTAATTCCGATATGGCTTACACTATCAATCTCCCTGACAATCTCCCCAACAACTCAAAGTCCAATCTGTGGCTGGAAACTGTCCAGGTGATAAGCATCAGGATGCTGTGGGCCAGGCCTGCTACAACACCTGCTCTAAAGTCAGATGTACCATCTGTAGTGAATGTAACCCAACATATGAAAAGGAATCCAGCAGTGTAGCAATGTTACAATATGCAAGTAAGAAGGGACTTGGTCGTGTCTCAGTAGTTTCATCTCTTTATTTGAACTCAGCAATTATACAATTATAGGAACAATTGTTCTCTTCCTTTATAACATGTGTAGAAAAACCTTACCAACTTTTGGCAAATTAAAATGTTCACATTCTTGGTAGGTAAGAAGTTTAGAGATGGAAAATAAATCCATTATGAATTAGCTATCCCAGCTGGATACAAGCCTAAGAAAACTTAAAATATTTTTCTTTAATGTCTACTATTGGGATAAAAAATAGGAGTAGATTTTTAGTTTTAAATTATTCAGTAAATTTGTGCTATTTTTATCTTTGAAAAAAAAAAAAACTGCCTCAACCCTACTTCTGGGCTTAATGTGTCTTCTAAAAGTACCAGATTTCTCTTTTAATATCTTTCCTTTCCTCATCAAAGAGCTTGGTTAAAAAATCATCACTTACTTCAATCTAAGCCAAGAACACAGTACTCTAAACCCTTAGCTACAGTAATTGGTCCAGAGCTGGCCACATGGCCTAAGCTGAGCCAATCAATGTCCTTTCTCAGATTTTAAAAATTTGAGCCACTAGGAAAGATCTTTTCCTGTTTATGAAGCTGTAAGAATTTAACTCTAAGAGCCCTCAGGTGCTCCTGTTTTTTCCAGATTGGGAAATCAAGGCCAGCAAATAGAGCTACTCCTGAAAAGAGAAAATGGAGAGTCCTACCAACATTTGAAATCCTGGTTCTTCTTTTATTTGAAGTAGGCTTCCTTCTTGCCTTCCTATAATTTGGTTCTGTGAGCTATCTATTTGGTCATATGAACCAATAAATTCCTTTGTGGCTCAAGTTTAAGATGCATTTAGATAAAGACTTTCCCAAACAAACAAAAGCTGAGGGAGTTCATCACCATTGGACCTGCTGATAAGCTGAGATGAAAAGACAGTAATTAACAATATGAAAACATATGAAAATATAAAGCACACTGGTAACAGTAAGCATGTGGTCAAATCCAGAATACTCCAATACCATAATATCATGGTGTGTTAATTACTTAACTCTAGTATAAGGTTAAAAGACAAAGTATTAAAAATAATTATAGCTATAATAATTTGTTAATGGATACACAGTATAGAAAGAGGTAAATCGTGACCTCAAAAACAATATTTGGGAGGGGGAGAAGTAAAAACGTTAAATTTTTGTATAAAATTGAAGTTAATTGAAGTAAATTGTTAGCTTAAAATAGACTATTATGATGTTTCATACAAGCTGCATGATAAAAACAAAGCAAAGACCTTCAATCGATACACAAAAGGTAAAGAGAAGGGAATCAAAGGAAATGCACAACATCCCAAGATGTTCCCCTGTTTCCCTCCCCAATCTTCCCCCCAACCCCCAGCCATAGGTAACCAATGATTTGTTTTCTGTCACTATGGATTAGATTTGTCTTTTCTAGGGTTTCATATAAATGAAACCATACAATATGTACTCTTTTGTGTTTGGATTCTTGCACTCAGCATAATGTTTTTGAGAGTCATCCATGTTGTTGCATATATTAGTTCATTGCTTTTTATTGCTGAATAGTATTTCATTGTATTATATACCACAATTTGTCTACCTGCTCACTTATTGAAAACAATTGGATTGTTCCCTTGTTTCCTTTCTTTTCTTTCCTTTTTTTTTTTGGTGGTCATTTAGAATAGCTGTTTGAAGTCACAGTGGACATTAGTTTACAAGTCTTTGTGGAGATGTTTTCATTTTCCAGGGTAAATACCTAGAAAGGAATTGCTAGGACATATGAAACATGTATCTGCTACACTGCTAAACTGTTTCTAAATCTACTGCACCATTTTACACTCTCAGCACTAATGTATGAGTTTGAGTTCTTATCCTTGCAAACACTTGATATGGTCAGTCATTCAAGTGTTAGCTATTCTAAGATGTGCAATGGTATTTCATTGTGGTTTTAATTTTCATTTCCTGGTGACTAATGATGTTGAGCCACCTTTTTACATACCTATGTGATGCATGAATGTTTTTTTTTATGATGTATTCTTTTAAATATTTTCTCCATTTTAATTGGGTTGTTTTTCTTATTATTGAGTTTGTTTATATATTCTAGGTATAAGTGCTCTTTCTCTCACACACACATATAACATAAATTCTGTGGCTTGTTTTTTGATCTCTCAACAGTGTTTGTCAAAGAGCAGATGTTTTTTAATCTTGGTGTGACTATTGATTTTTTTTAATAGATGTTATTTTTAAGAATAGATTTATGTTCACAGCAAAGTTGAGTAGAAATTAGATTTCCTATATACTCATGGCACCCCACCCCCTAAATCTTCCCCACTATCAACATCCTGCAACAGAGTTACATTCTGTGAACCTACATTGACACATCATTGTCACCCACAGACTAGTTTACATTAGAACTCACTCTCGGTGTTTTACATTCTATGGGTTTTGACAAGTGGATAATGGCATGCATTCAACATTATGGTATCATATGGCATAGTTTTACTGCCCTAAACATCCAATGTGCTCCATTTAGTCATCCTTCCCTGCCCCCAACTCTAGCAACCACTGATCTTTTTACTGTCTCCATAGTTTTGCCTTTTTTAGAATGTCATATTGCTAGAATCATACAGTATGTAGTCCTTTCAGATCAACTTCTCTCACTTAGTAATATGAATTTGTTTCCTCCATGTATTTTCATGGTTAGATAGCTCATTTCTTTTTAGTACTGAAAAAAATTCCATTGTCTGGATGTACCACAGTTTATTTGTCCATTCATCGTTGAGGGACAACTTGGTGGCTTCCAAGTTTTGGCAATTATGGATAAAACTGTTGTAAACATTCATATGCAGGCTTTTGTGTGTACATGTTTTTGACTCATTTGGGTAAATACCATGGAATGATTGCTGGATCATATGTTAAGAGTATGTTTAGTTTTATAAGAAATTGCCAAACTGTCTTCCACCACCAGCAGTGATGAGAATTCCAGTTGCTTCATATTTTTGCCAGCATTTGGTGGTGTCAGTGTTTGGATTTTTGCAATTCTAATAGGTGTGTAGTAGTATTTCATTGTTAGTTTTCAATTCCCTAATGATACATGATGTTGAACATCTTTGCATATGCTTATTTTCTATCAGTATATATGTTTTTGGTGAAGTGTCTGTTCAAATTTTTAACCCATTTTTTTAATCAGGCTGTTTGTTTTCTTATTGTTGAGTCTTAAGACTATTTTTCATATTTCAAGTAGAATTACCATAGATTTTTGTGGTATTTGTCCTTATGTCCTCTGACTCTACTAAACTTATTTATTAATCCTACCAATTTTGTTTGATTGCTTTTTTTTTCTTTTAGCTCCTTTGGGATATTCTTCCTTGTGTGTATTGATCTGTTTCATGATGTCTCTTAAGTTCCTTAAGCTTTCTTTATTCTTTTTCATGTTTTTGTTTTTGTTTTTGCAGCTCTGATGGAATAGATCAGTGATCCATTTTCAAATTCATTGATTCTTTCTTCTGGTTGTTCTAGTCTTTTATTGAGACCCTCTAGTGAATTTTCCAGTTCGATTATAGTGTTCTTTAGTGCCATGATTTCTGTTTGGTACTATTTGATATTTGTTTGTCTTCGTTGAAATTCTTGCATTGTTCATGCACTTTTCTGTTGAATTCAAAGAGCATCTTTAAGGCAGTTATTTTGAATTTTTATTTTAGGTAAATTATGTAACTTTATTTCATTAGGGTCAGTTTCTTGAGATTTATCTTATTCCCATGTTTGCAACATCATTGCCTGATTTTTAATTTTCCTTGATACTCTGTGCTGGTGTCTTTATATTTGACAAAGTAGGCACCTCTCCCAGGTCTTATGTATGAACTTCGTGCAGGTGAAGATCCCTGCCAGTCAGTTTGGGCAGAGATTCTGGGAGCTTCTACCAAATCTTTCGTTCTTGAGGAGAAGCAGGCAGCTGTGGTTTTTATCTGCTTGCTCTGCAGTGCTCTGGGGTGTCGGGAGAGCTAGGGTGTTTGCTTGTCCAAACTGTCATCTCTCTCCTCTCCCAGGTGACTAGACTGAGCCAGACACCTCAGAGCTCCAAGACTCGCAAGACAGATGCCAATTCTTTAGGTAGCTTCAGAGTGGTTGGGATGCTGGATGCACGGATCAACTCCTTCCCTCAAGATGAAAGCTGGTATTTTTTGTCTGAGCAGGTAGGAGAATCTATGATGTCTACCAATCCAAACTGATATCTTTCTTCTCCCAGGTAGCTAGACCAGTTAGAGCTCCAAGATTGGCAAAATACGGGTCAGTCCTCTGGGGAATCTCTTCAGAAAAGCTGGCATGCTGGATACATGAATTAATCTCTTCCCTCCCCAGGGAGAAGCTGGGAGCTTGGGGATCTCTTCCCCTGTGTGGGGAGCAGGGATTTTGGTGAGAGGGTTTCCTGAATTTTCCTAACAACTTTGGTGTGTTTGGTTTCATATTCACCTCAGGTACAGGAGCCTTAATTAGTTTCTGGATTTGTCAAAAAGGACATTTGTCCATGAATTGTTGCTGACTCAGCATGATTGTACAGAGAAGGAGGGTCCACAGCTTCTTACTCTGCCATCTTCCTGATGTCACTTTCCATCTATGTCTGTTTTTCTCATTCACCATCATAGACCCTAGATATAGTGCCTAGAATAGTGCCTGACACATTTTAAGTCCCCAATAACTATTTGATTAATAAATAAATGTCCAGGTTCTTGGAAATGTTCTTTTCATGAATATTAAAATGTCCAAAATTGTGCAGCCAAAACAGAAGAGAAGGACAGTGAACCAGAAACTAAAATCTTTAAAGAATGGGGGGCAAGTGAGCTGAGGGTCTGCAAATGCATTGGGAAGGATAAGAGTGAGATATTCTGTTGGCATAAGCTTCAAAGCAGGAGATTTCAGGGAGGAGGGAGAAACCATAGTCTAGAACTATCCATAAGAAGCAAAGAGGACACCTACCATATCTCTATAGTCATGGTGCTAAGGGCTGAAGGAAACAATGCTCTGAAGAAAGGAGAAATCTAAGTTTCAGTCAGAGTTAGTGGGGGAAAGGAAGAGTAAGAGGAAAAGAATATAGGCAAATATTTAGATATAAAGAAGAAAATATTTGAGACATCAAGGCTCAACTTACCTTGTTTCTCACTCAGGAAAAGCAAGCCATAAACTACTGATTACAAATATAAACCCTCAGAACAAACAAACCCTTTGTTCCCTAAAGATTTCATTTCCTTCTTAAGTCCCCTTTGACTTCTGCTTTTTCTTGAGCAAGCTTGGCATTCCCTCACCTTAGGACTTTTGTACGTGGTCACACCCTAGATCTTGCCAATACCAAGGAATGCACCCCTCTGCTATCTCAGTTTTAAGCATGTCACTTTCTGTTCACCATTTCTGTATTTCCAGTCTCCATCTGTAATATTTCCAACTCCTATAATCTTTCATTTCCACTGTAATCTATAGTTTATTGCTTTACCAGGTTTTTATTTCTCATTCTTGTATCTACTTCCCTCTTTAATATTTATTGACAAATTACTAAAATTACCCCATCATATGTAGTCTCAGTTATCTTGCCCACTCTCCCTTCATGGTAGTTACCATGGTGCCTACCAGGAGGTACACTCTCACTCCAAATGTCTGTGACATCCACTACCTTACTGTTTCAAAGCTTTGCCCAGAACGAGTTTCAGTGAAGCCTATCTTGACCACTTTGTTTCCTCCTGTTACTATTCAAATTGGCACTCCAATTCTCTTATTCTAATATATTTTTCCATTGTATTTATCATCTAATATGCTAAAAATTTTACTTATTTATTAAATTATCATTTATTGTCTCTCTCCCCACTTCCTCCAGAGACTGAAATCACTATAAAGGCAGAAAAGTTTGTTGTTTTGTTCACTACTATATCTAGTCCTTAAAGCATTACCTTGTCACCTCTCAATAAATAATTGTTTAATGAATGAATTGAGGCAAAATATGGCAGTAAAAGTCTTATGGATCAGGTTGCATTGGAAGTGGTGTTATTTTAAGGGTTCTTTCAAAAAGGCAAGATTTACTTATTTATTTGAGAGAGAGAGAGAGAGCGTGAGAGCACATGGGAGGAGGGACAGAGGGAGAGAGTCTTCAAGCAGACTCCCTGCTGGCTTGGGGCTTGATCTCAAACCCATGAGATCATTCCTGAACCAAAACCAAGAGTTAGATGCTTAACCAACTGAGCCACCAGGCACCCCAAGGGTTCTTCACATATATGCCAAGATATGAGGAGAAGGCAAAGGGATATTTAAGTGAAAAGCAGATAATGCCAAGAAATACTGAGCTACTGAGCTAAAGGGAAGAGATAAAGGCACAAATATAGATAAACAGTGAGATCGGGATCAAGTGAGGTTCGAGGTTAATGGACCATTCGAGAAATCTGTCTGCCAACCATGGACATGTGGGGGGAGGATTTTTTCTTTTCTTTTATTCTTTTCTTTTCTTTTCTTTTCTTTTATTATTTTATCTTTTGCCAGGTGTGGCACATTGTGAAGACTGCTTTGGAAAGTTACTGTACATCTTACTGTGTGGTTTTACTACATTAAGCGATTTGGAACCCCATTATAAATATTTTAGTACCAGGAATGGGATGACTTACAAAGATACCAACTGGTTAGGCCAGGCCAATTTTTTTTTTAACCCCTATTAAATCTGTAAATAAAATACAGTACATAGTTTAGGTATATTGACACATTTATCATAAATTAATAACAATAACTTTAGGACCACTAATTTTTTTGGAATGGCTATAGTTTAATAGGAGTGTTAGTCAATGAATTAAAAAGTAGAAATACTGGATGCCTGGGTGGCTCAGTCAGTTAAGCATCTGCCTTTGGCTCAGGTTATGATCCCAGGGTCCTGGGATAGAGTCCCGCATTGGTCTCCCTGCTCAGCTGGGAGCCTGCTTCTCCCTCTGCCTGCCACTCCCCCTGCTTGTGTGTGCTCTTTCTCTCTCTGACAAATAAATAAATAAAATCTTTTTTAAAAAAGTAGAAATACTGAATCCAATGTTATCATTAACTTTGATTAATAACTGAGATGTGTTCTCACAGAGAAAAAGCAATAGTAATAGCCTAAGGAAGGGGATGCAACAGTGGGTGATGCATTGCAGGCATTGTTGGAAGAATTTGCAGATCTTTATTTCCTTTTATAAGAACATCATTCTTTTATTTGTAGAGAAATTTAAAAATCATGACATGACTTGACCTTTGTAGAAGTTCTAGAGGAGAAAAACAAGACTCAGTAAGGTATAATTAATTGTCCAACCCGACTAGAAAATGGTAGCCTCAGGATTTTTATCCAGGCCAACTGAGGTTAGCCTGTACTCCTTCCACTATGTCTAGAACACGAAGCATATGTAGTAGGTGCCATGCCACATTTAGGTCTAAATGGAGTTCCCTGGAAGGATTTGGATCAGGAGCTAGTAAAATTAAATAAAGCATGGACTAATACAGTTGGGTAATAGTAAGATGAGTCAACATTTTTCCAAAGAAGACACTTAGATGGCCAACAGGGGGTGGATGAAATGGGTCAGAGAGTCAAAAAATACAAACATCCAGTTACAAAATTAAATCATGGGGATCTAATGTATAGCATGGCAACTATGGTTAATAATACTGTATTGCATATTTGAAAGTTGCTAAAAGAGTAAACCTTAAAAGTCCTCATTACAAGATAAAGAATTTTTTTTGTAACTATGTATGGTGATGGATGTTAACTAGACTTATTGTGGTGGTCATTTCTTAATAGATACAAATATCAAACCATCATTGTACACCTGAAACTAATATAATGTTGTATGTCAATTACACTTCAGTAAAAAAAAAAAAAAGGTAAGAAAAAAAAGATAAGTCAAAGTACCAGATTTATTCCAGGGGATGAAAGTGATCTATGTTTGAAATGAATAATCCTAATCTTAGACTTTTTTGAATAGATAGTTACCTCTTTGGTATCTTTTTCTTTTTATGCCTTTGTCTCCAGAGAGCTGGAAAGAATGCTGTCATTTTCCAGTCTTACCTTTCTCTGTATCATTGGGGAGTTCTATATCTTCTAGCCTCTGGTGGGTCCCTACAGAGGTGCCTAAGTTCCCAGAATATTTGACTGGGGGCACAGGAGAGTAGGGGCTATGCAGCTTCTTCTTTATAAGATTCTTTAACTCCCCTTTCTTAGGTTGAAAATAATAACATCACTTCATCATTCTTTCCTTCTTCCTCAGAATTTGGACATTTTCTCACTTCCTAGAAATGCCAAAGATTTATACTCACAGGCCCTGAAACTGAGATTTTCATCTTTGCCTATTTATTTATAACATGCTTAGACATTTACTATAGCATCTTGTTAACTAGTGTATGAGAAGAATATATGTAGAAAAGCATAAACATTTTTATTTGGAGCTTCCAATTTTGTCAAAGAGAATATTTTTAACCATTCTGTTATATGTGTATATAGATGTTATATACAATTTTATAGCCAACAAGTTCAATTAAGTAAGATTATCTAAGTATTAATGATAAAGTTCTCTCTCTTCTTTTCTTTGTGTGGGCTTCCAAAGTTATGCAGTGTTACCTCCCATGCTTTAAATTTTGCAAACAGCACTGTTCATCTCACAGAATTAGTGAAAGTCTTTCCAGATGTGGATTTGATTAATAGAAGCTTACTAACTGTGGCTAATTACTGATAATGATAGTATCACAAGGCAACTTCCTCACCAAAGTCACCTTGGTCTTTTCTGGTTGCTAGAATGGAAAGAACCCCCCACATGTACCCCCCTCCCTCAATCAAAATGAAAACAGAGTAATAATTAAACTTTGATATGGTCGCTAATTAATATAGGTGTGTAATACTAACCTTTTAGTGTAACACAAATTGTCATTTAAAGTATGTGAGAAATTCAGCCCTTCAGGATCTGGTTTTACAACGTGGATAGATGAGTCTTGCAGAACTAGTGTTTGAATATGAGGACTGGGGTCATGATCTATCACTTTTGATTCCACTGAAAATTAGATTTCCATTTTAATTGCTTCTACCACCCAGAAACAAAGGAACAGAGCCAGTGTGATATGAATAGAAGTCAAAATGTGTCTTTCCATTCCCTATTCATTTCATACAGAGGTGAGGCGCTCTAGTATGATTGATTTTCCTCAATGGCTT